TCTTTGATTATTGTGATTATAATGTTCCGTCATCAGGTACCCATGATACTCCTCTGTCCATTCACTGGGACAGTCGTTCCGTGCTGGTATCATTAGCATCGAACCACGTGACTCGACAAAGCAGACAGCACAAGGTGCGTCGTGGTCATGGAGATTTTTCTTAAAAGGGTTAAACAGTGACACTTCGTACTCAGCGCCGTACACATATGCTGTGCCCTGATTGCCTGGTTTGTATTTGTCGTACTTTGGAGTGTTTGGAAGGCAAAGATAGTTTGCTCCGCCTCCACGGTGAGTATAATGCCCTCCACCTATTCTACCTAATAAGAAGTGAGGGGTAAACATAATATGACCTATTATAAATGCAAATTTGACGTTTGAGAGATCATTTCTGGCTAAGCAATTAAAGGGTTCAAACAAGCTTTGCAGACGCTGTTCAAGTAGCGAAAAAAGTACTATTAAGGCTTAGTTTTTATCGTTTGTCTCACGATTATCACTTTGGTATTGATCGCGACGTTTCGACCGCACACTGCAGGTCTTCATCAGGCGATAGTGGCGATTTACTGAGTCGAACTATTTGTACCATCGTGGTTGTTTATTAGTGATTGGTGTATCACAAACCTCGCTCATTGTTGGTGGGTTTCGATCCCACCAAGACATTAAGACCATTAACATTGCGCGAGTGGACGTTATTGAAGAGAAATTGAAGACAGCCAGTAATCTATATCCTCTCTCAAGCCTTGCCATCATTTCTTTAAGGATGGCCCAATGGACATACAGATAAAGCGTGGTATTCGTCTTATAGAGAGTAAAAAAGGAGTATGTGAAGGTAGTGACCAACTCTAGGGGTTCGTTTTACCGAGGTGTCAATTTTATGGAGGTGTCCATTAAGAGAGAGTCGACTGTAATTCTTACCTGATCCAAGTTGACGCATATCACAGATATTTCTTTTATGTCATATAATTTTGGTCAAATGAATGAAAGTAAGTTATTCTTAAAATGATCTCTTCGATGCATATGACATACATTTTGACGCAATTTATTAAATGAATAAACAAATATTCACCCTTACCACTATACACCGTCGAAGCATTTCCAGAGCAGTTGGTCCTTCCCCAGCGAACGTATTTCACTCCAGACAGTCCCTTTCCCTTCTCTCCTTGTGGTCCGGGAGGACCCTGGGGGCCAACACTTCCAGTTTTACCAACACATCCTGGGGAACATGAAAACGATGAATGGATCATATTCTACTCATTACATTACATATGAATCTATATGTACAGGACTTCATGGAAAGTACGCGAGTACGCTATTATGTTTACGCCGTGAGCTGTCATCTTGTTTGGTAAATCGACTATGGCATTTTTTCACAGGCCAATCATGGCGCTTACTCAAATCCTGATACAAAGCTGGGGCCCCAGAACAAGGATTTCGGTGCTGTTTCGCAAACGGACTTAACCGGTAGAGTTTAGTTTCGTCAGCGGTGCAGGCTAGTGAGCGGAGCGAACGAGTGAAATTTCTAATGAAAAACAAACAAACAAGCAAACAAACAACAACAACAACAACAACAACAACAAAAAACGAGTGCTTCAAAACTGTACAAAGTACTTTCCGATTTTATTGTTAACTAAACGTTCATGATTCACGTTCATACCAAGGCTCTTTGTTTTACTGTTCCAAAGTGGTAAAATTATAAATTTTGCAGCTACATATCGATCGTTAAACGACCTTCCTTCGCCTTTCGAGACCTATTAGTAAAGGTTATTAAGAGGGTAAGGGTGTGCGGTAAAACAGGGCCCAGTTGTTCGAAGGCCGATTAGCGCTTAACCCGGGTTTCTTTTTCATGTATTCAAAAGCATTTTCTCGGATAATTTTCTCTGTTATTTTTAGAGCTTCCAATCATCAACTTGTAGACGAAAAGAATTAAAACTGAACAGCTTTTTAAGCTTTCAACACTGAATTCAAATCTCGCACTCACCTTGGGTTATCTTAACCCAGCTTTAAACAACTCGGCCAATGAGTCAAAAGTAATCTGAACTTTTTTTTTATCTAAATCGACAATTGCCGGGGGCAAATGAATGAATTCAGAAAAGGGCGGAAGGACTAGTTAAGGCAGGTTTCTGTGGGAGGAAAAAATGGTGATCGAGTAATCGATCTTTGGCCGGGATTGTGTCTTCCCACGAACTATTGTAAGCTCATTTTTTTATGTGCAAGTTCTGCCCTTGTTACATTCCATGCTACATCAGATATTAAATAATTTTCCCTATTACATCTACAGGATAGGAACACAGGATTGTACAGCTTACCAAGATTATATAAACTCACCTATTTTTGTGTCAGTTGCGCAGCCCAAAAGAGACGAGAGAAAACCTCATGCTCAACAACTTATGTTCGGCCAATAATTTATTGTGCACATAATTATACCTCGCGTAACATATGCCCGGTTAATCTGCTCTAGGCAGCATAGATCATACCTTTTGGTCCCGCGAGTCCTCGAAGTCCCGGGGGACCCACTCTTCCATCTCTACCGTCCCTACCTGAAAAAAAAAGAAAAACATACTAGAACTTTTATATTTTAAAGTTAAGAAAAAACTTGCGACAAAAACGAGCACATTGTTCTTCAATATCTATACAAATCGAGTTGCAAAGCTATGTTGCGCAAGTACTACCCACGTTCAAACCTGTCTCGCAACAAATCAGGCTGATTCGTGGTTGGTAATCTCTTGTCCCATTGGAGCCTGTCTGATTACAATTTGTATTCCTTTTTTAACTTTGGCCACTAAGAAGACCGAATGGTAGATTTAACTTGGGTTTTAAGACAAAGTTGCTTCTGACAGTTTTTGTCGGAATCACTGCACGAAAAATTAGGTTTTATTTTAGGGACTTGTCAGAAATTAGTAGGGGGGGGGGGGGGGGGGGGGGTTTAATTTTGGGTTGGGAAGTGGGGGGACCGAGCCCTGCTATGGGAGGGCCATTTTCTAACGCTCCACTGCGGGTGGGCCTAGAATAT